AGAGTAGACATTTTTGACAATTGAGGTTTTTGGTTGTTTTTTTTTTTTTTTGAGGCAGAGTTTCACCTTTGTTGCCAAGGCTGGAGTGCAATGGTGCAATCTTGACTCGCTGTAACCTCTACCTCTTGGGTTTAAGCGATTCGCCTGCCTCAGCCTCCCGAGTAGCTGGTATTACAGGTACCTGTCACCTCACCCAGCTAATTTTTGTATTTTTAGTAGAGAGACGATTTCACCATGTTGGCCTGGCTGGTCCTGAACTCCTGACCACAGGAGATCCACCCACCTTGCCTCCCAGTAAGCCACTGCACCTGGCTGCATGAGAGATTTTTAGACAGTCTCGCTTCCGGGCCCTTCAAGCTGACCTGCCTGGCTTACAGTTACTCTAAGAGCAGCTGCTACTTTAGGTACTGCAGGCAGTGAGCCTCCTAAGGCCTGGCCTCATCCTATCTCCCTACTGGAATAGGAGACAGGAATCCTTGGAATCCTTACGCACTGGCCAGTGTGCTGGTCCTCCAGGTGACACTGCCATCTGCCCATTGTTTAGTCCTGACCTTTGGAATCTGCCTGACTCCTTTCCTATTTTTACATGCTACATCTAATTTGTCAACAAATCATGCTGTCTCTACCTTAGAAATGACATCAGGATCTGTGTCTCACACCTCTACTGCTATGCCATCCTGGTGGGAGCCACCTTTGGCTCTCACCTGCAACTGTCCCACCTGGTGTCGTGGCTTCCACTTTGCCCTGTTACAGCCTCTCTACACAGCAGCCAGAAGGTTCCTTCCAAATCAGGAGTCAGGTCATGTTTCTCTTCTGAAGATCCTGCAATACCTCCCATTTCACTCAGTAAAAGCCTCCATCTTACAAGGACCACCCAGCAAGTTCTCCCCATCTAGCTAGCTCTGTCATTGTCTGACCTCATCTACCCTCCACCCTGGCCACACTACAGAAAGCCAGGAGCTGCTTGGAGCTCTCTTGTCAATGTTCAGGGAGTAAAGTTTGCCCATTGGCCAGGGTCACAGTGTCAGGCTTTAGGGGTACACCCAAACCTGCACCAACAACTCACAGATCGGAATTTGTATCAGTTGGGCTGTGAGGAAATTCTAGGGCCCAGAAATAATCTTAAAAACTGTTCTGGGCCGGTCGTGGTGGCGTGTGCCTATAGTCCCAGCTACTTTGGTGGCTGAGGTGGGAGGATCGCTTGAGCCCAGAAGTTCTGGGCTGTAGTGCGCTATGCTGATCGGGTGTCCGCACTAAGTTCGACATCAATATGGTGATGTCCTGGGAGTGGGGGACCACCAGGTTGCCTAAGGAGGGGTGAACCGGCCCAGGTCAGAAACGGAGCAGGTCAAAACTCCCATGCTGATCACTAGTAGTGTGTTTGTGCCTGTGAATAGCCACTGCACTCCAGCCTGGGCAATGTAGCGAGACCTCGTCTCTTAAAAAAATATATATTATTGTCCGGGTGCTACAGCTCACACCTGTAATCCCAGCACTTTGGGAGGCCAAGGTGGGTGGCTCACAAGGTCAAGAGATCAAGACCATCTGCACAACATGGTGAAATCCCGTCTCTACTAAAAAATAAAAGGTTGGCTGCTTGTTTGTTATTTTCTTCCCTCATTTTTTTCTGTCTCCATTAAGCACAATTATTGGTATAAAAGAGGTTTTCAA